AATTGATTACATTTTGGTGGTGATCCGGATCCAATTAATTATTTAATTAATTAATTAATTAAATTTTTCATCGCAATATTGCTTGTAGGGTTACAGCCCTATAGACCAAGGGTCCGATAGACCGAAGGCCCGATATACCGAAGGTTTATTCGAATACGCAGTGGCTACACGTCCGGAATCGGTCGCCTAGCCTCCAGGCTACGCATCCGGACATCCACTGATGCCGTATTCGAACGTGAATATGCCCGCACATCCACCGATGCCACTATAAATCATATGATGCTACTATAAACCATATATATGCCTTAACCCTAACCCTAACCCTAACCCTAACCCTAACCCTAACCCTAACCCTAATCCTAACCCTAACTCTAACCCTTTGCAATATTCGGTCTATCGGGCCTTCGGTCTATCGGACCTTCGGTCTATAGGGCTGACCCCGCTTGTAGGTGACCCCGCAACAAATGCTGCAATGCCATTCGATAAGAAACGCAAACCATGTACATTTTATCATGAGTTTCGCCAATTGTAACTGAAACTGAAACCAGCACTAGCAAACGTAGAACTGCAATGTGAAACCAGGTCAATGTATGAGCCCTATGTCGCTCATACAATGACATCATCACTGTACTTGGTGGAGGTCTGCGCTCTCCGTGTGATCTAGTTCTGCAATATTTTTCTATTATATTTTCTTCACATGTCCAGTTCAGGGAGTGGGTAACTACCCCACAGTATTGGTTAGCTCGAGATGTAAAGAAACCAACAATCGCTGCTCTAGAAACTGTAGTTATTGACAGGCTCAATCCGATGTGTGTGACAGTGTAATCAGACATGGCATTGCACAGTGAGCCCCGGGGCTTCGTCCAGTGTAACGCTGCTACTGATTGCTCCCTGTAGAAAATGATTAATGCATTAGCGGTGACAGCCTGTGTGTAGAAAACAAATGCAGAGGCGTGCATCATGCAGTAGCAGATTCTTTGTGATCAGATTTATATCGAAATGTGGCGTGTGAATGATTGATTGCTGGGCATGGAATCCAAGTCATACATTTGTTGATGATATTCTGTTCGATTCGTTATGTATTGATGCGAGTTTACTATTGGATGGATAACGTTTGAAATATTTAGTTGATGTAACAAAAATAGATTAGCCAACATTTAGTTCGAGGATTGGACATTATTTGGACATGGTGATTTTAAAATTTAATAAATTAATAAATAATTTAATTATACATATATATATATATATATACACACACATGTATGCATATATGTGTGTATATATATTTAATATCAAGGAAGTTTTCATATTATATTAATCTGCATATTTACGTAGTTAGCATTCAGGAATTTCACTATTAATTGATCGGTATCGTATATGTATATGTATTTCACGTATTAATTTTATCATGTGGAATCTGCTTCAGACTATTGCAAATAATATTTTCCATCGAATACCGGCCGTTATGTTGTTATAGTTTAAATGGGTGGGAGCGATGAGTAGTTACGAAATCACTACTAAGTTTTCACTCGCGCGCAAACACAATTAATGAATGCCTTCATGTTACAGTACGTTAATCCGATTGTTTAATGCTGTAGATATGAGGACGCAGCGCTCCAATCTGACAAAGCACAATGCAGCTCCTGCCAGCAGACCCGCTGTCAACGGCGCGCCGAAGCCTCCAGTTGCAGCGCCCCCTAGCCGGACGCAGTCGAAACTCCCGGCAAAGACCGCCACAAAGTATGTGATCGTCGCGTATCTTCTTGTCGCGCGTTCCGGCAAGCACGATCGAGAGAGAGGGGGGGAGGCGGGGTTGCGGGATGTACCGCGACTCGTGAGGGAGGGGGTTGGTCGTACGGCGCAGTTCCCCGTGCGAGGGCGCCACCACGGTCTCGTCGCGCCGCGCGTCTGCCACCGCCGCCGGTGCCGCGCCGGTCGCGCCACGCCGAGTGTCAGTTGCTGCTTCCAATGCTTTCAGAAACGTCGCCGCTAAACAGTCGAACGGCAGCAGGCAGCAAGCGGCGGCGAGCAAAATTCCCTCGTCGTCGTCGACGCCCGATTTTAAAAGCGCCGCGTTGCGAACGCTCTCGCCGGCGGTCGGTGCCGACGTCGATGACCCCACGTGCGGGGCGCGCGAGATGTCCTTCACTAGGACGCCCTCGGAGCAGGCGCTCTACCACCCGCGCAAGTCCGACGACGGGGGATACGAGAGCGGAGCCTACTACTCAGCCGTGTCGCCGAGCAGGTAGTGCTGCCCTCTGGCGGCGGCCGCCGGGGATGCTTCCCCCGGGGTTTATCGTGCTGTGTGCCTGCGTGTGTAGCAGTCTTTGTTTGCCTGGTTGTTGACCACCGTCAGGGGAAAGGCGGAGGGGTCTCAGATGTCGTCGCCGGGACAGCTTCACTTGGCGGTGAAGCTGGGTTGGCTTTGTTTGAAGCTGCTTCCCGCTGCTCGGCATTGCTGCCTTTCGTATACTAGCTAGTCGGTTGGTCTGTTGTAGCGTAGGCTGTAGAGAGGGAGAGAGAGAGAGCAAGAGTGAGAGAAAGAGACAGAGAGAGGGCGAAAAACAGTCAGAGAGAGAGAGAGGGCGAAAAACAGTCAGAGAGAGAGAGAGAGAGGGTGAAAAACAGTCAGAGAGAGAGAGAGAGTGACAATGAGAGTGAGAGTGAGAGTGAGAGACAAATACTTAATTCGTCACCCAATTTGGCAATGACGTGCCATACTTTGCGGTCACTCAGTATTTTTTCCGGTGATTCGATTCTCCGACGTTCAATATAATAAGGTGACATGGCGGATTTCTGTGCTAAGGCTTCTAAACGCTATCTAACATAAGCCATATTGTTATGGCAATCATGAGAATTCGATAACATGTCATTGCTAGGCTTTGGTAATCGCAAACCGACCCATAACGTCAAGGCACATTATCTCTCATCTTTATTGCACCAGATTTTAGTTGTTTTTCCCCCGATTCACCTGCGAGTTGTCCCTGTCGCATGTGGGTCGTGACGTGTGGCTATCTGGCTGTTTGGCAGAACACAACACCACCGTGCACGCGTGTAGCGACGGTAGCGTGCAGACGCGCGCGATGCTGACTGAAGAGTCTGCAGCAGGCTGTAGTTCCCAGAGTTTCATGGGAGCGCGTTAGTTGCTGCCGACGAGACCGATTTCTTTGCTGCATTTCGGTTGAACAGTTAGCTGCATGCTGATCTGCCGTGCTTGGAGGGACGCGCGCACTGCACACCTATAGGATTTTGCATGTGATTTCGGCACCGATTCTGCATGCGGACGGACGCTCGCTCGCCCCGCGACTTCCATGTTGACGTCACTAGTAGCGCATATAGCGGCGCATAGTTACGGTTAGTTTCGTCGCACTTTCCCTTAATTTAGCGTACGTTCGCTCCTGTTTCCGCAGCTGACCTTCTCGGCTGTGCGTGCCGTCGCCGGCGCGGAAACGACGGCTCGGAGGTATCGTCGGCCGTCGAAATGTGGCCGCCCCCGTCGTCGCGCTTTCGCGTCAACTCACGCCCTCTTACCTTTGTTGCAGCATGAGGACACCGCTCGGATATGGTGGCGCCCCCGCGGCGGGAAGCAACGGGCAGCGCTCGCACCTGCCGCTGCGGCTGTCCCGTCCCGGATCGTCGACGCTGTGCCCGGAGTGTGGCAGCAAGTACCCGACGATGCACGCCAAGTTCTGCATCGAGTGCGGCATGAAGCGAGTGACGGTGGGATAGCGTTCGCATGGTCGCTGCAGTCGCCGCCACACCATGCCGCCACACCATGCCGCACACAGTGCTGTCAGATTTCTGCTAGTTATACTATCAATCAAACGCGTGTTACTATTGCGGTCAGATCCACGGTATTAATGCAGTCAAATCCGTGTTAGTAAAACTGTCAAACCTGTATTATTAATACGGTAAAATCTGTGTTAGTAAAACAGTCAAACCTGTGTTATTAATACGGTAAAATCTGTGTTAGAAAACAGTCAAACCTGTGTTATTAATACAGTCAAACCTGTGTTATTAATACAGTCAAACCTGTGTTAGTAAAACAGTCAAACCTGTGTTAGTAATACGGTAAAATCTGTGTTAGAAAACAGTCAAACTTGTGTTATTAATACAGTCAAACCTGTGTTAGTAAAACAGTGAAACCTGTGTTAGTAATACGGTAAAATCTGTGTTTGTAAAACAGTCAAACCTGTGTTATTAATACAGTAAAACCTGTATTAATAATGCAGTCAAACCTGTGTTATTAATATGGGAAAAGCTATGTTAGTAAAACAGTTAAACCTGTGGTATTAATATGGTAACATCTGTGTCAGCAGAACCTTTTGTAAAATGGCACCTGCCTATAAAGAACACTTGTGATTTTTTCTGAGAGACAGTCTTGTACTGAAACCACCTCTATAGATAGGACACCTGTCTGGAAAGAGCACTTTTTGGGGTTTCTCCCGAACTACACTCACATACAAGTTTGACTGTAGTTACGAAGTTGGGGAGGAGTTTTTGGATAGCCCCCAGCGTGTGGTGAGTGTCGCACAGAATAACCATGTTACACACACCAAGTGGCGGTTTTACACGTGACAGCTAGCAGACGTGTTGCTAGGTTGGACTCCTGCGGCCCGTTGTCAGAAACATCGTAAAGTTAGTGCTAATGCTGTTTCTGACAGCAAGCCCCTGCTGCCCGTCTGCTAGAATAGTTCGTGTTGTCGCTAGGTGGCAGAACCTTGCAAAGTGGGTTTCAGTTGGCTAGCCATGCGGTTGTAATATTTCGTACGACCATTCATTAGAGACATGGAGAGAGTCAGTCAGAACGTTTTACATGTATTTATGCTTCGTATGCCTTATGTATATAATTGATGATGTAATCTGGTGGAATGGTGTAAAGTATTCCATGCTGTTTTAAGACGCGTATATGCTTGGCTGCCATCTCCCCTCTTAGATCTTCGTGCACACCTTGAGCTGAGGAGTGTATTTCAGATTTGGCATGCCTCTGGTGCGTGCGTGCGTGCGTGCGTGCGTGCGTACGTGTGTAAACGTGCACGCAAAAGCTAGCAGTACTGTATCCACACTCTTATTTAACAGGCATTTCTGTGACTGTTTTATATGTCATAATTTCAAAGCACTCAATGTGTTGTGGTAAAATACACAAGATTTAGTCCCGTTTTATGATTCGCTGAAAGGATTGATAAAAACAAGCAAAATACTCGCTTTTGTATGTTAATGTATCGTGAACATAGGGAGAACTCCGAAAAACAAGCGTACGAGTTTTGTTGCTATCCAAACAAAAGTTTGATAGGGACAAGGATGTGCATTCACCAGTCTACCTAATGGCGTGATATCAGTTCAGCATTCCTGTGAGGTTACTATTTTTGTGCATTTGAACAGACGAAGGTAGCCGTGATATATTTAAATGGTTGTGAAGTCTTTAGGGGAAAGTTCCGTCGAAAGATACACTGAAGAAATTATTTTAAATGTATGTATTGGGGGGAGCATGGACACGTGCACGTGTCGTTGCGTTGGCCTTGTATTATTTTTATGCTGTTGCGTTTTAATAGGTAACTATGTGCTGTACTTACTTTTGCATTCCAACCAGTTGGCTTTCACGTGTTTGTTTGCATGCATTTTAGCTGCTGGCAGTATAGTTATCGGCTATATGTCTCTGTGTCGCTCTGTCGTAGCGTCACTTCAAAAAATTTCACTAAACGTGATAATAGGTTGTTGACGAATTTATTCATTCCTGGCCGATCAGTTAGCATGGCTTTGTATTGGATGTCAAATCGATTAATTGGGATTTGTATAATGTCTAGCATAATATGTTGTAGAGACGCGAGGTTGTATGTTTTTCTACATGACTGAATCTTCGTTCTGAGCTCCTGGCATCGTTCCATCATACAGCATTCCATCCTCTGTATCTACAGCCGAACACAGACACGGATGGTAGAAACTGGAAATCGTATTATGCAGCATTATTAGGTATTAGCAGATAAAAAGTCAGTGCTGTTGTGCCGCTTCTAGTCTGTAAAGAGCAACATTTTATAGTCATTAGTATTTATTAGTTATATAGATGAATAGCTTCACAGGTTGTAGGGGATTTGGTTCTTAGCCCCGAGTTCTGGAGATCGTACGCACGCTGGATCTCTCGTTCAACACTTGTCATAGATTCACCACTTGCTGTAGAAAATAGCTGACTTGACATCTTCTATTCTAAGGCAGAATCAACCTTACACTGTACATAAACAAGCGTACCTTACCCCCAATGAGTTCTCGTTTTATGTCTATTCTGTTCGTGTGCTTTTTGAACTACTTCGGGTGCATCTGCGTGTGAATGCGTTTAGACAGCATACGTGTCAGATCGTATTATCAAAAATCAATCCAGTCTAAATCATAATCTCCGTATTATCAAAATACAGTCCTCGTGTTATCAAAAAACAAAAACAAACGGTTACACATTTACTATAGCCACCAAGCTTGCTTTCAATTTCCAATTCTGTTATCAAAAAATACGTGACTTGATTACGTTAATACCTCTCAGTCAGCAAACCTGGCCAAATATCTTGAATATCATTTAAAATTATTCCTATACTTGCAGTTGCTTCTAGAACCTAGCTGTTTATTTTGTGCTTAATTTTTCCGTTTGTCTTCGAAAGTTCTTGGAAATAGGTCCAAGTGCTTATTTTATGTCTAATGTCCTGTAATTTTTCATTTTTGACTTAAAATAAAAAGGAAATCTTCATTGATTGAGAAATTTCATCGGATCTCTATAGTTCACAGGAAAATAAAGTTCCTGTGAGTTAGATCCATACTGATTATGGGTCTAACTCAGATAAACTTTATTTTCCTGTGAAATCTTTATTGCTGGTTATCTTACTGACCAAAAATTTATTCCATTAATTCCAATTTAATTCCAAATATTTGTTTTTGTTATTATTTGTAAAGATTTGGGACAAGGAGAATATGGTCCTTAATGGTTTCTTCCATGAATTGGAGGCTGAAGAAGATCTTTAATTTCACCAGCTCAAGTACTATTAGCAAGAAATTTATAGAGAAAGGATCGTTCTCATTGAATTAGGGTGCAAAACAACTATTTTTTACTTTATATATGAATCTAAGGTATATATGATTGTCACAGATTGTGCTTGAAAAAACGTGTCCTTAAAATGTCATTGAAAAATCTTTGAAAAAATATTTCACGCTTGTGGGAACCATGTACTGAGTAGGCCCACTACCTAGCAGTAATAAATTAATGTACCATATAGAATCAACCATCACGGAAAACCAAGAAAATACCAATAATACCTTTTCATTCAATATCTGGTATTCTATCTATTTCTATTTATCTATATCTAATATGTATATCTATTTATATGGTGTATGCGTGCGTGCGTGAAGATAAATATAATTATATTGCGAGAGCGAAAGAGAGAGAGAGAGACAGAGAGAGAGAGAACGAGAGGTGGGAGTCACGGAGAGGTTGAGCGGGAAGGCGGGAGAAAGTAACTATATTAGAAGGAATATGTGCATCCGTGCCTGTGTTTGTGCCGTTTGTCTGCGCGTGTGACACATCTCCGTCTGCATGCCTTCTTCCCTCCTTTCTCTCTTCTTTCCTTACATCTCTCTTCTCATTCCATTCCCCTCAGTATTTCCCTCTCCCTCTCGCGGATAGTATCGCCCACGGCATCAGTTGCACAGTGAAAAGTTAGCCAGGCAAATGGCTGGTTTTCAGCTTCAACCTTTTCACCCAACCAAAGCACAAAATGTGGAGATACCGCTATAATACGCGTTTTTACAGTCACATAACCCCACATACACATACACTAACGGACGCGCACACGCTGGTATGGTCGCACGCACGCGCGTGCGTGTATTATAGGCGTAAATTCACATTTTGTGCCTCGGCGGGTGAAAAAGTTTCGGCTGAAATACGGTCATTTGCCTGCAAACTTTTCACCGTGCGACTGATGCCGTGGGCGATACCATCCGCGAGAGGGGAGTAAGGGATTAAGGAACGCATTAAGGAATAAGTGATTACTTTTATTCACTGTTAATTTTACCGCCTTACTCAGCAGATGAAAGGTCAGCATAAAGAACCGGCAAATGTTTATTATTATTAGTAAATCTTTATTGCATGTAATTCAACTACAAATACATGTACTGAAGAGTCTTTTTCATGGAGGAAAAATCTGATAAATGTAGTTAAGTGTTGAGCAGTAATAAAATTTCCGAGTGATACAGTACATTGTGATACATAGTTCTGAGTGATAATTAGCTTGCGTTCACACGAGATTCACGGCCTCGCTGGTTCCGTACTTATCTGGTTCTGAATTCGGCTGAAATACCGTGCTAACACAACCCGGAGCGTTCGCTTTGCTTCTGCCAACCACAACACATAACAAATACACGTGACCTGATCTATGACGTCACGTGAAACATAGCTATTAGGCCTGCGCGATGGCGTGTGCATATGTTTGCTAGTGAATTAGACCTGCTAAAATTCGAGACTGTTCGCTGGCAGCAATTGATCCGTGCGCCGGCCTTTCGATTTGGCGCACGGATCAATAGCTGCCAGCGCGTGATACTTTCGTAGGAGGTTCCCGCGGTCGCGTGCGCCTTGCCGCGGAACTGCGCGCAAGATTCGCGCTTAGCGGGCAGGATCAACACCTCTCAGGCGACGCTTCTCTGGTATCCGGTCTTTCTCTGGGTATAATATAGACTGGTAGCCGGTCGACAGTTCCATGCGCTACACTAACGTCGTGTAGCGAACGGGTACCAGTCTAGGTAAGCGCACTACAGTAAGAGGCCTCGAATTGCGTTCACACAACAGGCAATACGCGCCCAGCGTGGTGCCGAATAAGCCTCGTATTTCAGTATTGAATATTTTTACCGTGTGAACGCTCAGTACGGAACTGAAATCCTCGTGTGAACGCAGTTACCCATTACAGTACCTCAGTACCAACAGAAGCCCAGTACATTTAACATCAAAGCTTTACATATTGTTACAGGACTGTGACGTGACATGAATCTGCGTGAATGACAATATGAAACGACTATTGTGTACGTCAGCTAGTGACTGTTTAATCCGCTGTCGGCACTCGTGTAAAACAACCATTTTTTTACCTTATACATGTATATGAATCTAAGGTATATGATGATGATATATAGCTAAAACGATTTGTCACAGATTGTCCTTAAAAAACATTGTCCTTGAAAGAATAATTCACACTTTTGTGGCAACCATGATTATAACCCATGATTATCGAGAGCATATAATACTAGGTATGTAATATTATAAACATAATACTATAGTAGTGTTATACTATAGTATCATGGGTTCCTGAAGGGATGCATTGATTCCATTATTGCATTGGTACAGACAGGACACCGGTCTAGTGTCCCCCTGCTAGTGTGCATGTGTACGCTGGAGTGATAACCTGAACAGCAGCTTCGTTTCAACAATATCTATTTCACTTCTACACTTACAAGAAACAATTGGCAAGGTTTCAGCCTTAGTATGTATATTGAGTATCAGCTAAACATATTCGGCCGTACTAGCACCACCTAGAGGATGCCCCCCCCCCCATCGTATCGCTCTCTCTACCTTTTTTGGTCACACTATGTACATCTATGTGTAAATAATCTATGTTATATATATATATCTGAAACACATAGAACTTTGTTAACTCTGTAACAACTGTGTATTTACAGACCATAACATCCATCCATAACCAACGACCATATGCTACAACACTACGTTAATATAATAAATCTCATCAAACATCAACCTTATCACAAAGGAGCAGATTTAACGCGATTAAACCTCATCTATCGGAATCACCGCTAAATCATCTAACATGGAAATTAAGACAATCACACTGATTAGACTGCGCAGACGATAATACTTACAACGGTAATTATAATAATGAACTGAGGAACTCTTGAGATATAACGTGGTACTAGACAATAATAATACTTAACAACGAACTGAGGTTAAGAATCGTGAGAAATGAGGTGGTACCACGACACGAACACACACGCACAAATTTTGGTCAGTCTAAGCCTGAGAGTATCGTAAAGGAATGGATGACATCTCCATCCTAGCAGCGCAGTTTACAGAAGGACACTGTATAAAAAAAACATACTCACGCTCGATTGGAAGACGCACCGGCCAATACCACGCGCGATCAAATCGAAGCAAACCTATCACAGTCCGATCTAATCTTGGCTAGGATAAACTCGGGTCAGAACTCTAGAGTCCACGTACACTAATTCACGTCTGCTCAAACGCGACGCGCCCTCACTAAAACATTAATATCAGCACGACGGCAAGGCCAGCGCTTACCCTCTTCGCGCACATCGACTAGCTTTTTTCTTTATTCACAGATTGCAACAGTGGCAGTAGCAGCAAACAAACGAGCGTGGGCATAGACGCACATAGAATCTCAAGCAACCATGAAGGCTAGCGGGGCAGGGTGGAGCAACCCAACCGCCCTCTTCTCCTCCACACTTCCCCCACAACGTGACCCACGGGCATTCCCAGTGGAGAAAGCGAGTAGGGTGAGGCAAAGCAACACTTATCCCCCGTCTTCTGCCCAGTCGATCCGTCACCGCCGGTGTGAGGACCGCCGCCACGCGCGGCCGCGGATTGCCGCTCATAAATCTTTTGCATCACAACTTGATCTTGTACAGCTTCAGTTTGAAGCCTAGGACTTCGGTCAGTACTGCGGAGAAGGCCGATAGGATTACCACCTTGGTGACGTTGTACAGCAGAGGGTTGGCCGACATGCCTGATATCTTAAACGGACTTTCCAGCTCCTGCGCACAGAAACACAGATTTGAGTAATCGGATGAGAACGATATATAATGCAGAGATGACGTAGAAAATAATTGGATGATTTAAATGATAATATGATGATTCGAGCTAGGGCGCACTAAAAAATAGATCCGACTTTGGATTGGGGTTAATGACATCTAGTGGCAATTCTCAAAAGTGACATTTATGCCGAAGCAACTAGTATGACATCATATTCACGCTCATAATAGTATGCATTACTTCATGATAATACATAGATGACCTGGACAGCAATTGGCTTAAACTTGTGTAATTCAAGTTCAGATTTAAAGCGACCTCGATAGATCAAACTGACTTCATGCATCTATTACTAACTCGGAAGAAATCCTTACTTATCCTTTGCAGTAAGTGCCATCAGTGTTTTATCGTAGCAAGCACACAACAAGGACTAATATCGCGCTGGAAATGGATGTGTAATGGAAAGCAAAGGGGTATTTCCTTGTTTATGTGACCACGAGACTACACGAGACCTATAGCAAGAGGAGATAAGTCACGAGCACCTTGAGTAGTTGTGCAGCAAGTTTTGTGACATGATTGGCAAGCATCAACTCTTCCTTCTTATGTGGCTTCTGTTCCATCCCAAGGTATAGGTTAATCTAAACAAAACACGTAATAGAAACAATGACAATATACACTTGTTCGTGGGAAAGCCTGATTACATTAGATGCATGGGTCATTGCCTTGAGATTTCGAATTTTGCATTATGATATACTTCATTATGATACACAGAATACAACACACCACTCCTTCATACGTGCACTTTACTGCAAATATTTCAGTCTACACTGATTTCGGTGAACACATTACCCTACCTATACCCTAGGCAGGTTTTGCAGGAATAACAATTGTTGGTGCTACGAACTTAAAACCAGAGGCCCATCGTCAGAAACAAAATTAGTTTTAACAGTACCACGTTTCTGACAATGGGCCCCAGTAGACAGTGTAGCGCATAAAAAACTACTTTTCTTCAGCGACAACCGATAACAACAATTACAACTACAACTACAATGAACACAACAACTACAACTACAACGAAAACAACAAGAATAACAGCAATAACAAGGACAACAAATAGAACAGCAACAACACTGACAGAAAGGACGGCCCAAGGATAGAGAACATAGGTCCCAATAAAACCAATGTGCCTAACCCTAACCCTAATCCTAACCCTGGCCCTAACGGCCCAAGGATAGAGAACATGGGTCCCAATAAAACCAATGTGCCTAACCCTAACCCTAACCCTAATTCTAACCCCAACCCTAACAATAACCCTAACCATAACCCTAACCTATTATATTGATATAATATTATATTTATATTGATGTAAATGACATTGATTTTATTGGGACCCATGTTCTCTATCCTTGAACCGAAAGGACAACAACATCATCGATAATAACAATGAGGGCAAAGACAACAATAACAATAACAACAACAATAACAACAACATCAACAATAATAACAATGAGGACAAAGACAACAATAACAAGAATAACAACAACATCAACAATAATAACAATGAGAACAAAGATAACAATAGCAAGAACAACAACATCAACAATAATAACAATGAGGACAAAGGCAACAGCAAGAACAACAACAACAACAACGACAACTACAATGCTAACATCAACAACAAACGACAGCCACGGCAGCGGCGGCAGCGTGGGCACGGGCATCAGTCACCTGCTCTGTGATCAGCACGGACAGGTTGCAGTATTTGCGGTTGGTCTTTGTGCCGAGGGTCATGAATCTGAGCAGGTAGGCGCCTATGCCGAGGCTCCACAGCAAGATCTCGCAGTTGAAGAGCGAGTTGAGGAACGTCGTGTGATCGGTGATCAGCTGCAAGACACGAGCAGGAAAGTGAATTTAAGATCAACGCATTCACTATACAACATTACGCTACACTACACTTCACTGCACTCCATTGCATTACACTACACTGCCCTGCAGTGCATTGCATTGCACTAAACTACACTACACTGCACAATACTACACTTCACTACACTACGCTATGATACACTGTACTGCACTGCACTACACAACATTACACTACACTATACTGCACTACACTACACTACACGACGCGACGCTCCACTATACTGCACTACACTACACTACGCGACGCGACGCTACACTGCACTACGTCCCACCCACCCAGTAAACTAAAGGAAACATTACCTGCACACAGACAACGGAGAGTAGGCAGAGATCGATGAGAAAAGCTGCTGATACGATCACATCTACAGACCGCTGTGGACCTCTCCTCTGCAAAGCACACCCGAAAATCAACACATCCGTTAGTAGCAGAAGCTGGGCAAAGTGGTCGAATATACATAGACACTCCTGCATAACACTGTCTAATCTGAACAAAAATCCGTGTAAAAAAGAAATCTAACATAGCTTTCACTGTGAGGCGAGTTAAATTTACATCCCACTTCACAGCACAGTCAAATCTATATGGATTCTAATTCAGAGTGTAATCAAATTTACATAAATATTGCCACACAAAGCAATTAAATACACATAGGTAGTGTTGACAAACACACACACCCAAACCTACATGTATTTTGAAATTTCAAAGCAAGAAATAGTCAATATATAGTAATAATTTGATGATTGATCCCATATAATGACTTTGTTTTTATACACTCCTGATATATATAAATGCTTGGAAGAAGTATTGAGGAATTAGGAGGGACTTGCAATTAGCTAGAAGTGCCCCTTCTAACATATCTGATTATATTTTGTTATGAGCACAATACAAACCTTGAGGTACGACCTCAGTGACAGCCATGTCTTTATATTTCTCACTTTGTTGAGACGGAAGTGTGGCAACTCTGACCTCTGTGCACGTCTAGCAGATGTCAGATGACAGAAGAACTTGGAATAACGGAATCTCTACAATGAAGACAAATTATAGTAATGATTTACAAGATATAGTAATTATTTATAAGTTATAGTAATGATTTACAAGTTATAGTAATGATTAAACAGTTATAATAATGATTTACAAGTAAAATCAATGATATAGAGCCTGATTTATCATGCCAAATACATACTGCTTAGTAAATACATAGTCATTAGTGCGGGAGAAACATCACTTTCTTACATTAAATGATATCGCGTATAAACAGAACAATTATTTGCTTGGCCATAAGTTGCTTAAGTGTGTCTTACTGGGAAATTATCATTACTCATTTAGCTAGCGATTTTCGCTAAATTTTGCAATAAGTGTAATAGTAATATTTCAATACTGCACAGACACTGCAAGTTATACTTTTCATCAAATTCGTCTTGCGAGTGATAGCTTCATTACAAGCAGAAGATTGTTTACCTGCTTGAATGTCCTCTCAGCCACGGATAGTAGGAAGAAGAATATAGCGCTAAGCAAGAGCCTCTCCAGAGTACCAAATACTAGCAGCGTGCGCTGTCTGCAAAAAAAAACCATACTTACTTTAGTGCAAACAGTCACATGATATAACCAAGTACAAATATACATGTATCATGATGTCACTTGATATACACTCCAGGATTGAAGCTGAAATACAGAAAGTCGTGTACAGAAGTGTAAGATTGAAAAGAAGGCTGGTGACACCAAGAAGAAAAGCATACTCCGAGACAGAGCTGGTAAATACCTTCAACTCCAGTTAGACATTACCTGGCAAAATCATCTGTAGGTTACTGACTACTAGGCTACTACACTACCTTCCCAACTGAGAGGCACATAATTCAATAGACCTCGAACATGTGCTAAAGGGGCCAAGGATAGTTGCAGCCTCATGTCCTAGCCACAACGAAGAGGACAACACCGCACACAGCGCACAGCCAGCAAAGATGCCAAGCTTCCATCACACCAACAGCAGGCGTGCGTGCGTGCGTGCGTGCGTGCGTGTACGTACCTCCAGTCTGCAGCCAGCAGCGTGTGCACGGACCGCTGTAGCTCCTCACTCAGACTCGTCATGTTGTGCGTGCGTGCGTGCGTGCGTGCGTGCGTGCGTGTACGTACCTCCAGTCTGCAGCCAGCAGCGTGTGCACGAACCGCTGTAGCTCCTCACTCAGACTCGTCATGTTGTGCGTGCGTGCGTGCGTGCGTGCGTGCGTGCGTGTACGTACCTCCAGTCTGCAGACAGATGCGTGTGCACGAACCGCTGTAGCTCCTCACTCAGACTCGTCATGTTGTGCGTGCGTGCGTGCGTGCGTGCGTGCGTGCGTGTACGTACCTCCAGTCTGCAGCCAGCAGCGTGTGCACGAACCGCTGTAGCTCCTCACTCAGACTCGTCATGTTGTGCGTGCGTGCGTGCGTGGCGTGTACGTACCTCCAGTCTGCAGCGCCAGCAGGCGATGTGCACGGACGGCTGTAGTTCCTCGACTCAGACTCGTCGATAGTTGGCCCCTGGCGTGCGTGCGGCGTGCGTGCGTGAGCGTGCGTGCGTGCGCTTGCGTGCGTGCGTGCTTTGCGTGGCCGTAGCGTGTACGTTCACCTCCAGTCTGCAGCCAGCAGCGTGTGCACGGACCGCTGTGAGCTCCTCCTCAGACCTCGTCAATGTTGTGCTGCGTGCCGTGCGTGCGTGCGTGCGTGCGTGCGTGCGTGCGTGCGTGGCCGTGCGTCGCGTGCGTGGCGTGGCGTGCGTAGCGTGCGTGTACGTACCTCGCCGTCTGCTACCAGCAGACGTGTGCACCGGACCGCTGTAGTTCCTCACTCAGACTCGTCATGTTGTGCGTGCGTGCGTGCGTGCGTGCGTGCGTGCGTGCGTCGCGCTGCGTGCAGCGTACCTCCAGTCTGCAGCCCAGCAAGCGTGTGCATGGACCGCTGTAGCTCCTCACTAAGACTGCGTCATGTTGTGCACGTCGGCGGCGTCGACCGGCCCGCCACACGTGGAAGACGGCGGGAAACGCGGCGATGCAGAGCGAGAGCGCGATGCCGAGGTAGAGGTAGTCGCAGCGCTCGGCGACGCTGTCTGCGCGGCCGATGATGGCGGACACCATGTCGACGAGCGACAGCTCCACCTTCTTGCAGTCGCTGCCCTCCCATATGCGGCACGTCACTGCAGGGGTAAGAGCGTGAGGCCGTCAGTACCATCGTCACATCGTCACATCGTCACATCACTGTCAGTACCACCGCCACATCGTCACACCATCACATCAGCGTCATGCCATCGTCACATCGTCACATCACTGTCAGTACCACCGCCACATCGTCACACCATCACATCAGCGTCATGCCATCGTCACATCGTCACATCACTGTCAGTACCACCGCCACATCGTCACACCATCACATCATGGTCATGCCATCGTCACATCACTGTCAGTACCATCGCCACATCGTCACACCGTCACATCACCGTCACGTTGTCACAAAATCATGGTCATGCCATCGTCACGTCATCACGCCAGTGGACGGCGGTCTCTCACTGAATCGTGGTCTTACCCGCGACATGCTTTTTTAGGTTTCGCGGAATCGTGATGCGAATTAATCAAGCTAGTGATGAGATACGGCGTGTCACGAGGGGTGGGGGTGGGGGGGGGGGGGGCCGTCAGTACTATCGTCACACTATTGTCACGTCGTTATATATGCCATTAGAATATTCGTTATTCTCGCGATCTCAACCGCGACGTGCTTTTTCACGATTCGCGAAATCGTGATGCGGATCGATTAGGCGAGCGGTCGAACCGCAAGTTCGTTTAATTAATGGATATTTGATATTAATTAATAGCGAGTTCATTTCGTTAAGCTTTTGCTACTTACTATGCTATGCTATTTCGTCACTTGCTGTGCTAACGTAACGCGCAACCAGCGATTTGCACTATCACACTAGCGACTGAATCGTCATTAATTAATTAATTAAATTAATTCAAGAGCGAGTTAATTTCGTGAAGGTTCGATGAGCATTAGGATTGAGTAGGTTAAACGTTAATTACATGTCGTTGCCAGGTGTTTTTTGGGGTTGTGGCAGACATATGAGTGAATAGCAATGGCAATTAATATTCTGATGTGGCAGCACATTAGCAGACGATTGCATCCACACAGCGTTAGGTACGGCGATCAAGCTAGTCAAGTAGAATGACCGAGTTAGAAAATTGAATGCACCACGGCAACACAGGGTCAACCACCGCAGAATATTACACAGACTCCCTCATTGCATATCATCTAGGTCAACATCTAGGTGTCCATCACTGGCGAGAGAAAGCTATTGCACCGAGTCGTACACAAGGGCTGCCGAAAGCAATTTCCTTTATTTCTTTCTCGCTTCTTCTAAAGTTTCTTCTCAACTTTCTCGCTTCTACGGTTTTCAGTTCATTTATTGTCGCGCGATCGCATAGAGAGGATCGCGGATGTGCACTGATGCACAAACAAGCGTTTCGACGATGGCAGAAGCTCGTAAGATGTATGATAGTCAGTATGACGATTCACAGAGAAACCAGAGAGAGAGTAGCACACTACAACAGATACACAAACCACCAAAGATTGCCATCACTACAGAAGCTGTCTATAGAGTACTGCAGTAGGAGAGCCAATCGCTTAACGACCCAAACTTATCACACCGTTTGGCATTTCGTAAGTTTTTACGAAGTTCACATCTGATGCTTATAATATACGGGAAAGTTAAGTGGGATCATGATGAGAATTAAAATTCGTTTCATAAGAGTTGCACTGGACCGATACATTCGTATATGTGGAGAGGGAAATGAAGAGCAATGCAAGCAAGAGACTTGCTTTAAGAGCAGTTGCGGTGAGAGGTAATTGGAAGCGATAAACCCAAAAGCCATTGTCTGCAATAACATTATCACGTCTAACTACTATCAAGGCAGACAACCGTTATTAGTGCCCGTGAATATTACTGCATCAGTTCTTAAAGCAGACAGACAGGAAACCCGAACAAAATTATTAGAGACAGACTGTAAATGCAAAAAATGATCATACCACGTGGACTTCCTATAAAAAAAAGAAAAAACAAATAACAACACCTTAAATACAAACACTGATTCGGCAACTCAAACATCAACACCATGCAAGAACTTTAATGTTGTTAAAGCAATTTAACAGGTCATCAATTACACTATACTACCACACTAACCACATATACAAGCAGGAGTATATTTCCCAAGTTCTTATACATTTCTGCTATGACAAGCACGTTTTTAAATAGCCCTGATGATGTCTATAATGCGTATATAAGATTCAGAAATGCATCCAAATGTTAGAAATCGTAAGTGAATGTTTTAGTTTAATTTCTGGTAATAGGAAACGTGTGTGGATACACTAGCAGTAAATAAGGACTACTTCCTCCGAGACGTCTATGTTTGTGTGATTTGTTAGCTCTTACAATGCATAAATCATCATGGATTCAATATGGTATAGAGTTGTAATGGAGCAGTTTTGTGGGATGAAGGGGTGAGACACCATCTAGAGATAAAGTAACGTCATAAACGAAACCAAATGGGACATGCAAGCAATCAATTACAAAAGTGACACCATGACCAAATAATAACAACAGAACAAAAGATCATGAATAACGAATCTTACCTCTATCAGATGGTGGATGCTCAGAATCCAGCATCTGTAAAATCCACAAGTTAATCATTATAAAAACACAGAGTTAATGAGTATTGAACTGTTGTCTAACTGCCCATATATATATATGTACACTGCAGCCTCCTGTCAATCAATCAAAAAGATACACGTTTACTTTAAACTGATTTTTAATTGTACTCTGTCAGTTGTTATGTATTTCCCTAATTCAGCAGTTGATTCACCCTATAAAAACAAATAAATTTATATCTAGAATTTATTATTCATTCATTCATTCAATCGTACAGTAACTAATTCATTCATTCATTCATTCACTTATTCATTGTATCATATTATGGATCTCATAAATTGCAATCATGGCAAATTGGCATCAGCGTCGCGGCGATATTTATATATTGCATAAGCGTGTTGCCGACCTCATTTCCTGTCCTGCCAAAGGGGTCCTCTGTAAAGTCGTCGTCGGTGACCTGCGTGCTGACCGAATCATCGCTCGACTCCCCATCAGAGTACTCCTCCCGCATGTACCAGTCCATATCCGATACACCTTCCTGCACACACCGACCGCCATCTTGAAAACATGGCCGCCAAGAGCACACACCCGCGCTCATTTCGACATCATGCATTAAATTCGTGCAAAATAACTGATCGATCGGTTAATCACTCAATCACTGAATGATATGAAATTGCGCTAGTTTTCCTTAGGTTTTTCTAACATCATTTTGGATTCAATATGGGGACACTTCCAAAGCTTTTCCCATCAGCGGTACTATCTGTGTTATGCCGCTAACTACGGGACACACACGTATAGCTCTGGCAGTCAATGACATGAGGGTCCCCTGTCGAAAACAAAATTAAGTCTTAACATTAAGTCTTAATTTCATCCCGTAGACCGGTAACATGTCGTAACCGTTTGACTAGCAACTAAAACAGAATTAGTCTTATCATTAGTTTTACCATCAACATTTTCTTGCAGATCTTACCTCCATATACCGTATACTGCGTATGAGAAACTCGTAACTTTACCACATTTCTGTCAATGGTCTATATAAAAAAGTTCACGTCAAAACTAATGTTAAGACTAATGTTCAGACTAATTTCGTTTCTGACAGCTGGCCCCT